TTTGCCAGGGCTCCAGGGTCACCGGCTTTCGGGCTCTTTGTCACAACCTCTCTGCTAGAGAAGACAATAGGCGGCTTCCCACAAGACTCCACCTCCAGGGAAAAGGGACACTGTGCGTCTGAGGCAGAGGCCCGAGTGCACGGCTGGAAGGCAACCCTGATGCCTTTCAACTTCCTCCCGAAGAGGAGGCTGCTCTGCCCAGCTCTGCCCAGGCGCCCCTGAAAGAAGCCAGTGACTGCCCAGCTGCGGACACACCTCTGCCCTGGGGCTTCCCAGCTTCCCACATGGGCCAGCCTCCAGCAGGATCCTGCTCTGTCTCCTCTGGGCTCCCTGGGGAGACCTGCAGGGAGCTGAGCGAGAAAATCTTTTTAATTCGGGAAGGGTGCGCCCCCCGAGGTGGTAAGGGGGGGTGTTGGGGGGGGGGACAGCGGGCGGGGGGGGGCTGGGCTGCCTGTCCGGGCAGGACAGTGGGTGTCCCCGTGAAGGGAATGGGTCTGGGTGAAGGGCCGTGGCCCCACATCAGGGACCCAAGGCTGCCGGGACGGGACGGGAGCACTCCAGGCCGGGGCCCTGGTCCCTCTGCCCCCTGGGCGCTCCAGCTCAGGACCCCACGCCGATGGGGCACAAAGAGCTGTCTCCCTGGAAGGAAAGCCTCAGTGTAGGGCTGGGGGCTTGGCCGCCCAGGATTCAGACTGGAAATGGGATTGGTTTCCCAAGGCCCTGACACGGCCCCGGGACGCCCTGCAAGCACTGCTCTCCTCTTGGAGCAGGGAGGCATGGCCACTGCCACCTGGACTTGGGGCATCACCCCTTCCCGCCCGCCCCTCTCACAGATCTCTCCTCACCAGTCACCTGGTCAGGAAGCCATTTCCTCAGAAGCATCTCAGGCCTCTAACTGCATTATCCCCATGGCGACCAAAACCAGGCTCTCTCCGCCTGTCCCCCACCTGCTCCTGGCCTCCCCACCCACCCCACACCTGCTGCGAGGCAGGCCTTCCTAAACACCAAGTCCAGCAGGCCGCTCCCCATCACCCGCTCCCATGGAGCCCTGGAGCCCCCGGAAGGCTGCTTCCTGCCGCCCGGCGCCCGAGCCACGGCCCTGCACAGTGGCCCTGCCCTCCCGCCACTCAGCTCTCTCAGTTGCCAGCACCCTGCCCTGGGCACCCGCTGTGTTCTGAATTCTTGACTCTTTCTTGCTTCCAATACTTTTCACATGTAGTTTCTTCCTCCTAGACTGCTTTCCTCTCCCCGCGCCCCACCCACACCTTTTTTAAAAATTACCATTAAGTCCTCTCCTCCCCTCTTCTTTTCCAACTGAAAATTCATCTTTTCAGGCGAACTGTAAATGCTGTTTGCATTTTAAAACCCTCCCCTGTCCCTATAGGCAGAGCTGCCCCCTTTGTGTCACCCCTCACTGTGTCCTCTCACTGTGTCCCCTCACTGTGTCCTCTCACTGTGTCCCCTCACTGTGTCCTCTCACTGTGTCCTCTCACTGTGTCCCCTCACTGTGTCCTCTCACTGTGTCCTCTCACTGTGTCCTCTCACTGTGTCCCCTCTCACTGTGTGCCGGAGGCCGGTCCATCCTTGTTGCTTGACACAGTCCCTGCAGGGAAGAAACACCTGCACAGCATATGTTTCAAGGGACCTGGCATACTGTTCTTAATATGTCTGCTCCCCTTCTTAGCGCTGTGTTCTAACCAAGGCCACCTCCCCAAGAAAGGTTCTTTCCCCAGGTGGGGATTTTTCCCTGGAAGGGAATAAATCAGTAAAACCCCTTAACTAAGTGCCAGGCGGGTAGTTAATTACTTTAACTACGAACAATCACGCTTAACCTACATAATATTTACTTAGGATAATCTCCTTCCGTTACTTCCTTGTAGCTTAACAGAACAGTAGAGTAGTGACCTTGCAATGGAGATAACTGGCCCTAACCTTTGGAATAGAATGGATAGGATTAAACTCAACAGAACTAGATGGAGATGGGATTTTTGGCAAGGGTCAGATAAACTATGGACATGAAACAAGGAACTGTAGGTCAAGGGAGGACCCAAAACATACCATGATGTGATTATAGAGACATGCTTATAGGATCAAATGGTATAAATACAGATGTAACAGGACAATAAAAAGAGAACCTGGCTATGCTGATGATCTGAACGCTGCCTCAGTGTCATTCCTTCTTTGCCAACTCAGTCCACACCTTTGGGAACCCCTGGACCTGCTCAGGCTGGACCCAACAACTGTGTCCCCTCTCACTGTGTCCTCTCGCAGT